CTCCCGGTCCCTCCGAGGGACTCCCCCCCCCCCAGTCCCTCCGAGGGACTCCCCGTCCCGGACCCTCTGAGGGGCTCCCCGTCTCGGTCCCTCCGAGGGACTCCCCGTCTCGGTCCCTCCAAGGGACTCCCCATCCCGGACCCTCTGAGGGGCTCCCACTCCCGGTCCCTCTGAGCGGCTCCCCCTCCCCGACCCTCCGAGGGGCTCCCCCTCCCGGACCCTCCGAGGGGCTCCCCCTCCCGGACCCTCCGAGGGGCTCCTTGTTGAGCCTGTTGTAAGGAATCTATTCCTGGGATGTGCTGAGAGGGGTCTTTACACTTTGTCCCGGCAGAAAGTGAAGATTGAGCCAAATGGAAAATAACAGTTGAATTGAAGCATATCTCTCACCTGGACCGGGAGGAAGAGAATCTCTGGCATTTCATAATATCTTTCACCCACACTAGAATCCTGCAGCACCTGGTTAATGTGGTCCCAGCAGGCACCATCCAAATATAGACCAAACAGGAGGGCCCCATCCTCGGGTGGATCAGGGTGCTGCCAACAAAACCACACCATAGGGTATAAGACAACGTTGGTTCAGCTTTACCTCCAACCCCCAACCCTCCAAAACCCCATTATCCTGCCCAGTATACCCTGATCTTTATCCTGGGTAACTGTACCCCATCAGCACTCTGTATACTCCCCGGGTCTCTCTCCTGGGTAACTGTACCCCATCAGCATTCTGTATACTCCCCGGGTCTCTCTCCTGGGTAACTGTCCCCATCAGGACTCTGTATTCTCCCTGTGTCTGTCTCCTGGGTAAACTGTCCCCAACAGGACTCTGTATACTCCCCGGGTCTGTCCCCTGGGTAACTGTCCCCACCAGGACTCTGTATACTCCCGGGTCTCTCCCCTGCGTAAACAGTCCCCATCAAGACTCTGTATACTCCCCGTGTCTGTCCCCTGGGTAAACTGTCCCCACCAGGACTCTGTACACTCCCCGGGTCTCCCACGTGGGTAAACAGTCCCCATCAGGACTGTGTATACTCCCCAGGTCTGTCCCCTGGCTAAACAGTCCCCATCAGGACTGTGTATACTCCCCGGGTCTGTCCCCTGGGTAAACTGTCCCCACCAGGGCTCTGTACTCCCTGGGTCTGTCCCCTGGGTAAACTGTCCCCACCAGGACTCTGTATACTCCCTGTGTCTGTCCCCTGGGTAACTGTTCCCACTAGGGCCCTGTGAATTACACGTCCTGATCTTCACCCTTCGTTGTCCCTCATCTCTCGGCTTTCCCCTGAATATATTTTTGGGAGGGTGTGCACACACCTTGAAGGCTTGCAGCCAGATATTGGATTTGTGTTTATGGGTGTTGGAGAAATCCTTGGTTGGTTTTGTGGAAGACTGGACGTGGAACTCGAAGGTGACAAAGTCGACAGATAGCCCGTGTTTTCGAGCGTGGTTTTGTAACAGAGCTGTCAGGAATCCTGCGGTGGAACAGGGTGCTCTGTTACAAACCAGATTCTTTTTAACAACAAGATCAACTTCATCTTACACAGCACATTACCACCAGGTGAGCTGAAATCCCAAATTCCTGTTGGTAATATCATCAGGATAGTTAATCGATGATTATCTGTATGAGTTACAATCCCTTATAGACTTACTGAATGTGTAGATTTCAAACACCAAACTCAAAGTCTCAGTTTCCACAGCTGAGTATTTTGAGAATTCTTTTAACTTTCTAAAATAGTACCCGACTCACTGTTCAATCACCATCTTATTCCTCTATAATAAAACCGCAGCAACAACCACATCTCTCACATCAACAGCCAGTTTAAAAGGTTTAGCATAATTTGGGACTATTTAAATTCGGATGGGAGTGTGTATAGCTTTCAAGGTATGAAGTGAACTCTGACTCTGCATGGTCCATTCAATGTTCTTGCCTTTCTATAACAAACTTGTCAAAGGAACCACAGCAGTGTTGAAATTGAAATAAACTCCTGCCTTTCCACCACAAAGTCTCTTGTTTCATCTCGGACACTGGAAAATCCTAGGCAGCCCTTACTTTTGTATCTCTTGCTATTTGGCCTTTTTCCCACAGTGTGGCCCAATTAAGTTGCTTTTGCTTTGGCAAATTCACTTTTGGCCAACTTTACAACCAAATAGGTTCTTTACAGTTGAGGAAGCAATTTATTCCTAATTCCTCATCCCAGGTTTGGCTGATCACATCCAAGTCATCCATATTTAAAGCACAGGTGCAGAAACTTTGATGGTTAATCTCTAAGAGCTGGCTGGCACATTTTTCATTTGAATAGTATTCCTGTACATTGAAGAAATCCATCTGGTGTTACAAAAGCTGATATTTCTTTGGACAATATCACTAACCACTAAGCCTTTAATAAATCAATCTTTGCAACAAACCTCGCTTCTGCAAGCCATTTGATACAGTCTCTTAATCACGGAACTGGACATGAATTAACATTTGTTACCACATCCCACAGTCCAAAGATGTGCAGGCTAGGTGAATTGGCCATGCTAAATTGTCCGTAGTGTTCAAGGGTGTGTGGGTTATAGGGGGATGGGTCTGGGTGGGATGATCCAAGGGTCGGTGTGGACTTGTTGGGCTGAAGGGCCTGTTTCCACACCGTAGGGATTCTATGATTCTATGATTGCTATTACAATAATCTATATATAATTGTTGTGACTATCTAGCTCTAGTCCCATTACAATGGGTGAGCTCCAGCTACAATGACTAGGTGTAATAATGTCAATGTCCATCATTAACTTGAACTAATTACACAGGCTTCAGTCTGTGAGGATGGAACTGTGTGTGTGACAGAGATCTGTCCCAGCATATTTACATCTGTCAGTCTGTTATAGCTTTTGTAAATCAGCCAACAGTTTCCTGGGAGAGAGCATGCTATTCCATTTAATGTTTTAAACCCCTGTTTTTACTTGTGGTTCAACTTTAGGATTTTCCATTTCTGCTTCATTCTTGATTAGCTCTGATAGTTCGAATTCACTTCATTTCATCTCCCGCTGTAAACTCAAGTTCTCTCCTGACAGTCGCTCCTACTTCTAGTGAAGGGAAAGGTCCCCACAATCAATGATGCTGCTGCAAAACAGTTCATCAAGAGGTGATCGGGAATTAAAGGTGATCGGGAATTAAAGGTGCTTTCGCCACTCCCTGACAAAAGGGCAGGTAAACTACGAGCCAGGCATTGATGAGACTTTAAAACATAGGGGCAGAGGAAGGCCATTCAGCCCATTCAGTCTGTTCCAACATTCAATTAAAGTACAGCAGTTCATTCACTGAGGGGCCAGTACAGGCCTCAGTCTGTGAGCGGCCAGTACAGGCACTTGGTCTGCGAGGGGCCGGTACAGGCACTCGGTCTGCGAGGGGCCAGTACAGGCCTCAGTCTGTGAGCGGCCGGTACAGGCACTCGGTCTGCGAGGGGCCGGTACAGGCACTCGGTCT